AATGCAATAACGGCCAGCATGACACATTATTTGAGAACAACTTGGCAACATGTTATATTAAAGAGCTATATCAATGAAATGTTATTGCATTGATTCTAAATGACGCATAATAGGGAACAAAATCAACTGCAATCAATATTGCATTTCAAGAGTGCAGACTCTTTCCACATTTCATTTTCCATAAATATGAACTCATACAAACCTCTACTGTGTGTTTGCTATCCTACTCCAAGTTACTTTCACTCACCTTTTCCTCATTGGTGCATCATGGCTTCTGGTCTTACATTTCCTCTGTTTCAAAATTATTACCCTTGTTTAAAATCAATTCAAAGCATTTCAACTTTCTATTGTTCAACCTCCTGCAGTCCTATCATTTACAATGCACAGATTCCACTGTCTCTTGTACATCCATCAGATCACATGACAGTAGGCATTATACAATGGTGCAATCTCTGGATTCCCTTCCTATACTCCCACATTTCTTGACATCCCTTCTTTCTTTTGAGATCCCGCTTAAAACCCACCTCTCTCTGCTACTGTTACAGTGTTCGATTTTTCTTTAATGGTCGTGAAATACCAAAAGTACTTCTATTAAATATTGTATGACTGTGAGTGTTGTTTCAAAACAAAACCAATACTAATTTCAACTTATCTGTATTGTATACCACTATAAGTATACTGAAAGCTTCCAAAATGTACAGTGAAGAATTAAAGAAAAACAGATATTTGAAGGTGTGGTGTAAAATTTGATAAACAATAAACTGCTGTGTAGGAAAATCACTGGCTAAACAAGCAAAATGTTTTCATGGCTATTGCATTGCTCCTGCTGTCTGCCTTAGAGGTCACCAGTGAAAAATTTGATACCTGTGCCCTCGGAACTCCATAATATGTATGACAGTATAGGGCAGAAAACAGGAATTCCTTCCTTCATAAAACAAAAACAACAAACTAAATCTGAACTTTAAGAATGTCAGATGTATGTACACAGTAGTTAGGGTTTATTTGATATCTCCATTAAAATATGGAAGGGAATTTAATAGAAAACAATATGCTTTGACAACATAATCGGTCTAATTTTGATCCAACCAGAATAGAAAGATGATACATGTGTCTTCCTATCTATCTAAAAGGTTACTTGGACTTATCCAATATTATATTTGTTTTCAAAGTTTGGGAGGTCTATTCTCACTTTAACCTGTTCCTAGAAGCAGCCTGAGCATCTTATACTATTCACAAACTTAATATTACTGAGCAACCAAAACAAAGTTGCTGGAAAAGCACAGCACGTCTGGCAGCATCTGTGAAGGTAAAAACAGACTTAACTCTGTTTTTTCCTTCACAGATGCTGCCAGACCTGCTGAGCTTTTCCGGAAACTTTGTTTTTGTTCCTGATTTACAGCATCCACAGTTCTTTTGGTTTTTACTTAATATTACTGAGGACCTGGCAACATTCAAACAATGAGCAGTCACCCAATCCTTACAAAATATTGTTCTTCTTCAGTGGTGTAAGCTGAGAGATAAAAAGGAGAAATCTTGAGTTTCTGTAATAGTGTAAAACCATGACAATGAGTCACCAATCCATCTACACTTATCATGTTTTTTTTTATTTCCAATTACTACAAAGGAAGCAAAAATAAAGAGACGTGTGAAATGTGCTGATGACTTGTTACCAACTTTACACAATTCTCAGTTCTGCATTAATGAGTGGAAATTTCTGAGACATTACCTTGAGCAGCTATCATGCACATGCTGGACAACTTCCCAGATAATTATGGATGCTTTGCTTTTGATTTTCCAACTATTTCATTAACCAGAGGAAAACTGTGGACAAGGTATCCATGATTATCTGATGGCTGCCTAATGCATGAAAAAACAATCATGTAGGGCCTCAGATTGTTCCACCTTGTGACCACTTCTGCAAGTTCAGATCTCGTGTCATGATTCTGATATGAGAAAATATGATTTTTCTTTGTCAGGCTTTGGTCAGTAGAACACAGCAGCCAAAGTTGCAAAGAGAGAGACTTTCTGTTGCAGTGCAACACTTCACATTGGCTGGATTATGTGTTCCATTTCCCTTTCTTATACACACATACAAACACAAGGAAAAAGACAAAAAAATGCTACTCATAGATATTTAATTAAAGCATAATAGGTTTGCTATACTTGGCCACTCTTAAATGTCATATGAAATACATAATACAGCAATATCATAAAAATATCACAAGACAGAACTCATATCAATCAAGAGTACAGGTCTACAAAAGGTAGAGGTCTGCAAAATTATGAGAGGCATAGATTGGGTGGATAATCAGAGGCTTTTTCCCAGGGTTGAAGTTTCAATTACAAGGGGGCACAGGTTCAAGGTGAGAGGGGGGAAAGTTTAAGGGAAGTTTTTCATGCAGAGGGTTGTAGGAGCCTGGAGCACACTGCCAGAAGAGGTGATGGAAGCAGGCACATTGGCGATATTTAAGAGGCGTCTGGATGTTTACATGAATAGGGAGGGAATAGAGGGATACAGACTGAATAAGGGCAGAAGGTTTATTTTTTAGTTTAGTAAAGACATAATGATCGGCACAGGCTTGAAGGGCCGAAGGGCCTGTTTCTGTGCTGTGTTTCTCTTTTGTTCTTTTGCTCCTCTTTTGTACAATGATGTATTTTACATTACAGCATTGTGGGCTTTCAAAATAACAAAGTTAGTCAAATTTTCTTTTGACAAAATCTTAATACGGATATTTTGCCTTGGTTAAATATTGCGCAGTAAAATCATTAATAATGATTAAAAGTATATTCAATGAGTTAGATTTAAATGGAGGTGTTGATATATTCTATCATCTTTATGAAATATTAAAATGGAAAGGGAACAAATATAAATTTGGAACAATCCATTTCATTTTAAATAGTGCATATTCTAGATTATTGATTATTGATTACGATGCTACTGTGCTATACATTAAGGAATTGGAATCCACAATCAAAAAATGAGCAATTCTGTGCAGGAAGCGACTCCAAAAGGCATTTTACCAGATTGGTAAGTACAGGGAAATTCAATGACTACAGATGTGGGTTTTTTTTTTATTTTAGAAAAATGGCTTTGTAAAGTAAGAATCTACTTCTTAGAAGTTGGTCACCTAGCAGACAATAATGTGTCTGCCAGACTATGAGGTCTTCTCGGTCCCTAGATTGGCAGTATTCAAGTAAATTTTTGGTGCAGACCATTTCTGGATCTTCTAGTCACTCTAACAGTCTGAAATCCAGGAGTGAGAACAGAGTGCCATTACAATTCTGTGGCTGTCTTCTGTGATCTTCTGCAGCCGAACAAAACCAAACAAATTGTCCTAAAACACTCATAAATTCTTCAAGACATCTTGTGAAAGGTTTAAACTATGATATTGTTTGAATGAGGATTTAAAAAAAGGTATTCCTTGTCCAGCTGTGAAATTAGGTCAAATTGGTCAAACAAAGTCTGGTACAAAAGCTATTGTTTTCAGTCGTCATTTGGGGGGCTGTGAACCGTAACTTTGTGTGCCCTCTAGTGGCCGAGCTTTATGAGTAACCTTAAAGGGGCATGTGGAGATTTCTTCTGTCTACAGAACATATCGCATCCAAAATCAATAAAATACTTTGTTGCTCTCTGTTTAATATATGTTTCATCAAAATCAGTTAAAATATGTTGTGTCACTGCCTATCACATGATAGTTGTCTAATGCTATACATGTATTCCAACATCCTTTCTATATACACTTCATCATCCTGATGCTGCGACAGCAGAGCTACAACATCAAAAAGCAAGGACTCCAAATACCAAAGTATTTGAGCCTGCATAGCACTCAAAGAATTTTGCACACAAAATCAAACATATTGAATACTATTTTAGGCTGAATTTCTTCTCTAGCTTACGAGGCATTTATAAACCACTGGAATTTCATTGATCATTTTCACTACTGTCTAGTTCCTCAGTGGAATTATTGCACTGCACTTCAGCCTCTGACTAACCCTGAGGCTAACAGACAACTGGTATACTTTGTTAATACTCAAGATAGTATGTATTATTCAAACCAGGGGATGGATTTTCTCCAGGGACTGTCACAACTTGCCAGTCACAGCTAAGCACATTTCATCTGTTCAGAACAGGAAATATCAAATATTACCTTAGCCAGGACTGTGAGCGCACCAGTTCACCATTCATGGCAGCCACAGACAAAAAATGTAGCCCAGATGATTATTCTGTGCCAGTTGAATTTGGAGAATAAAACAAAAAGCAAATCTTTCAAGGAGGTATATGAGTAGTAGGAGTGATGAGGAGGCAGCTTTAGAAATGGCATTTTGCTTTAAAGATGTTTACTTATCCTCCGTTATTCATTCTTTATGTACCCACTTTATGAGCTTTCTTGAAACAAAAAGCTTCCTCGGGCCTCATCAATCTCTGCAGAGCACGGTTTGGATGCTCTCCAGCCACTATCACAAAATATGCCACTGAGCTATGCATATTCAGACAAAGCTCTGCCATTGAGTGCAATTAGTTTCAAAGAGTTGGAGTCTCTAATAGAAGGATATCAGCATCAATGCTGCAACGACGCAGTCACCACCTCATGACAGTATTTGTTTCACACTAACTTCTGGAAACTGTTGAGGCAATTAGGATTAAACAAAAATAAATCCAGACACATCACCTCCCTTTAAAATGTCACCTACTCCAGTGGAAAATGTAATAATGCAAAATGAAGGCACAAATTTGTGGCTGTGACTACTGTCTTTTTGTTTAAAGAAAGGGGGAGCAATTATAACCCCTTAAATCGGCTGTGTTGTTCATCATTTTTTTGTTGTAGGCTAACAAACACTGTTTGGCACCGTTCTATCAGTGCCACTGCATGGTCCCGTTCTATAAGCACCACTGTCAACCGCTTGATCCTCACCTATTGCTCTGAGCTTTGACTAAGTAATGTCAGAATGTCTATGGCAGCTGGGATAGGCATTCCGCCTGCCGCTGCTTCCACACTTACTTTAGGACTGCCAGCTTTACTTTTCCCCGGCTTGCTTTTGCTCCGCCGAGACTGCTCGTGGTCGAACTCCAGGTCCTCGAGCCGCTGCGTAAGGGCTAGCTTCTGCTGAATCGCCATACGCAGCAGGGAGTTCAGCGTCTTCTTCTCATCCTCGGCCGCTGCCAGCTGCCGCTGCATGTCATCCAGCTGTGTCACGTATTCATCACACCTAAGGAAAGGGTTGGAGAATAGCAGGGAATCAGACACTCGATATTTGTCTATCCCAGATTAACTGTCTCTGTCAAGGGACCGTACAAGTATGTAGCAATAAAAATGGAGAAGGAACTCCAGAAATAAACATTATGTATTCAAGTACTTAACTACTGATGTAGCCCAGACTAGTAATTGATGACTATCAATTGCCTCAATATTCACGTTTATAAGGCTTACGGAATCCTACGACCTCCAACTCATAGGATAACAGCAGAATGGATGTGTGAGGTTGGTATGAACTAGTCCCTTTAATAACCTTTCCATTCTAAGTTGTCAGTAGTATTAGTCCTGTTATCAGACCTATTGCATCAATATCCTGCTTGCTGCCCCCTTCTGCAGTTGGTATTTTCAAAATAATGTTAACATTTCTGTGATGCACTTCCATGGACATTTTTACTAGTCCCATAGTTCTTAACTGTCTGATACAAAATACAGCTCCTCTGACTCTTCTAAAGGAGTGAGTGAAAATTTTCGAGAAACTTTTATTACTTGGAGTGACATTCTGTTGGAAGATAACACACATTAGCGCTTGCCATAATGTATTTTAAAGCGATTTGTGTAACTGCTTCATGTGTTTGTAAACAAATGAAACAAAAACTTTGGCAGAGTCTATTTTCATGAACATAAAGCTCCTTTGAATGAGAATTTTTGAAAAATAATATTGTGTTTGCTGCACCTTTTATTTTCCATTTTTTCTCCTTCTTCGCGAACAACATTAACTAACACTGTCATGTAGCCCAACACTTCACACTCTGTATGTATCTCCAGCAGTGAATGTTGAATGGATATGTGAACACAGTGATCAGTGTCATGTCTGAGCATGTTTTTCCAGTTCCACATTGATGAATACTTCCCAACAGGATTAGTCTGATAATGATTAGAAATGTGAACCTTGCTTGATTTTCCCATCTTTAACTGCAGCATGCTGAAGGCATCTCAGTGCCCCTGCCTTGGGTCAACTGACTCAGCACAGTGTAAGATCAAAGTTGATGTGCTATTAGTCTATCTGACTCAATACAATGCTAATCTATCAGAGGAAATTCTATTAACCATCAATGTGAACAGCACTGTGGCTGATGATGACTTAATATATAACTCGATATAGCACAAGGCACAAAAAGCCTTGGATCCTGAGCAACAGAGCAAACTTCAGTAATTTGATGAAGGTATGCACATTGCCTTGCTGACAGGTATTGATTAACAATGATAAATAATGGATAAGTGCCCATGGACAATGTCAAGGTTACATGGAATTTTTATCAAAACGACAGCAACTAACTGATAGTGCAAATGTACGAAGCAGGGTCTGGCATTTTCTTGTACATAGGAAGGTAAATAAAATTTGAAGGACAAGACACTTACGTTAATCAAAATTTGTCATGATCCATTGGCTCTATTTAGTTTGACTCCAGTTAAATTTAATCTCTCCCACTTCTCTGTGACAGCTGGATGAAATTTCCTTTTGTCCTGTTCAGGACTGTAAAGAAATGCCACAGAAGTCCCTCCATATATGAAGATTATTGTAAACAGATGTTTATGTTGATAAATATAAAGGAAAGCCATATGTATATGTATGACATAATCATAAAGGGTGGTTAGATATTGGATGAGTGGAGGATAGTGTGACTACCCACTTCCACCCTCCGCATAGGTGAGATCATGGAAGACTCTGCTGTCTGTGTTCTATCCCACATAAGTTCAACTCACATAACTCTTTGTCTTTACTGACCTACACTGGCACCTTGTTTACTGTGGCCTCCAACTTGATATGCTCATGCTTGTAGTTAAAACACCTCATAACTTAGCTACCTCCAATCTCCTCCAGCAATACAACCACTTCCCCTCCACCCAAACCACTGCCCAAAACTGTATTATAGTCTCAAGTGAATCTAATTATATCATCAGCTGTGACTTCAGCTGGTAGGTCCCACTTCCCATGAATTTCAGTTCCCATCCTCCCTCTTCTCCTTTAACACATTGTTTGAAATGACACCCTTTAACTTCTTTAACTAAGTTTTGACTATTTTTTCTATCACCTTATGGGGCTTAACAAGTACATTTTATTTGATAACTCACCTGAAATGTCTTTGGACATTTTACTACATCGAAGAAGCTTTCTAATTGTAAGTTAATGTAATCTTCCCATGATTTGTTACTGTACTCCTCCATATTAACTACAGTTCCAACTTAGTGCTAACCTCAAATTTTGAGATTGCTCAGTCCAACTCATTTACGTAAATGGTGAACAGCAGCGGCCTCAATACCAGTCATTTGGAACACTTATTCCTGCCTTTTCTAGACTGAGGAAATACCTTAAACTCTTAATTTTTTTTATATAATGGTCTTGCAATCCATTCGCTACTAGTCCTCTGATTCCACATGTTCTGTATTAGGTTTGGGTCAACTATGTACTACATAAAGGCTTTTAAAAATTCCAAAAAATAGACATCAACTACATTACCCTTATCTACTCTCTTAATTACTGCTTCAAATAGTTCAGTCAGGTTGGTCAAGCACAACCTTTCCTTATGGTATTTGTGCTGACTGCTCTATACATTTCCAGTTTCTAAATATTTTTCTATTACATCTTGAATGAAGGATTCCATCACCTTTCCCTCCACTGATGTTAATCTAATCTTCTATATTTCACTGGACTTGTTCCATATCCCTTTATAAATGGAAGGTTCATAATATCTGCCCACCATAGCTCTCTGACACTATTGCCTTTTCTAATGAAAAGTGTGACTGGTGGATCTGCATCACACCTACTGTAGGCCAACATATCCCTCATGTCATGACATACAGAATTGAATACAGTCATCCAGACCAGTCCTATCCAGACATCTCCATGTGTTTCACACCTTTGTATTACTGCCTTCTTGAGATAAAGGCTTGAGGTTCAACAAGTCTTTATTTTTCGTACAAGTCTGCTAGCTTCACTAACTTCTGAAGACATCTTTTAAAGATACAAGTAGTTCACATCCTGAAGTCTAGTTAGTATAGGAACTACCAGATTATAGTGGGGGGGATAAAGCAAGATGCAATTGTGAAATAAAATTGATGGTTACATTAGGTGCTGGTCTTGTTCCAATAATTCACAAAGATGGCCACTATCCATATATAGGCCACAGAAGAATCGATAGTTAGCCATTAATTAAAATTATTTCCTCTTCATCCTCAATCTCTAACAGGAAGACAAAAGTCAATTATTGTGTCTCATCTCTTTCCCATCACTGTTGATGCACCAGCATGAGCTGGAATTACACTTGTACCTACCTACTATAAAATTGCCAAATTGCTTTATCTCAATGCAACAAATGTATTATGAATAATTTGCTATCTGCTTGTTTCTCTTCCCCTCTGGATTCACTTGGATACAACAATGCTGCTGAGATCAAGAAATACTCACCATTTGGGAACACAAGAGCATAAGCATGCAGTTTAGTAACATAAAGAGCATTTTAGTGCTAGCCCTTGTAAAGCCAAACTTATGAAAATTACACATAGGCTTGGATTGATAAGTGCTCAGTAACATTCATAACATGCAACTGCCAGGATGTTGTTACCTCTAGCAAGAGAGAGTGTAACCACCTGACCATAGTTTACTACGTATACCACATGCACCGCAGCAACTCAGCAAGGCTTCTTCAACTGCAGTTTTCAAACATATCACATCCACCACCTATAGGAATGGCAGGAGACCCTAGGGAACACACCACCTACAAGTTCCCCTCTATGTCACCATTCCAACTTGGAAATATATTGCTTTTCTTTCACAGTTGCTGAGTCATCATCAAACTCACGTGTCATGAAATAAAATACACATTCCATTTTGTTAGAAAATTCCAGTACATTCAGTGTTCAATTATATATTATTTCTCACTGTACAAAATATCTTCGAATTGCAGCATTATTTTTTCCTGGTTAATACCTTTTCCCCTACTGTCTATACCTACAGTTGATATGTTGATGTGCTTCTGGTTTGACTCAAAGTTTATGATGAATTGTTTCCAGTCAAATGCTATTAGCAGGTGGAAGAAGAAGCTGAAATGTGGTTGAGAACAAATCGAGTGGCCCATCGAGTCCACACCACCCCCTCTGAAGAGCAACCCACCCAGATCCACACCCCTACCTATTCCTGTAACCCTGCTTCTCCCATGGCTAATCCGTCTAACCTGCATATCCCTGGACACTATGGGCAATTTAGCATGGCCAATCCTCCTAAGCTTCACATCTATGGACTGAGGGAAGAAACCAGAGCACCAAGAGGAAACCCATGCAGACACCAGGAGAACATGCAAACTCCACACAGACAGTCGCCCAAGTCGGAATCAAACCTAAGTCTTTGGCACTGTGAGGCAGCAGTGCCAACCACTGATGCAATCGGAACTAGCTGAGTGGGCACCATGGTCAACATGGACCATTTTGGGCCAAAGGGCCTGTTTCCATGCTGTATTACTCTATGACTCTATGACTCTATCTACTTGCCCAATCCCTCAGAAGCTCCGCCCACCAGCTGTTGCCCTGGAGAATGTGGGAAGAATCCATTTGAAATGCAAATACAGATAGGAAAGTCTCTTCTCGTTGACTTTTTACGTGCATTGTAAGGGTCACTGACTTCATCGGCAAATGTTTGGCAAACCTTTTCATCAGGTTACAAACACATAATACAGGGTAAATTCAAGAATGAGTCATTGGATAACGTGTACCACACTGTTGTGAATGAAAGGACAGTTTTTGTCCTTGTTCTGTTTCAAGCTTACATGAAGCAGAAGCATAAGAGTGGGCAAGTGTACTGAATGTTTTGTTTCTATGCTATATATTCAATGTAATTTGTTTAGGATAAAAACGTTTTGCTAAACAACCCTCTTATGAAGACTGTGCCCTTTAACTTTGTACCTGTTCCAGGGGAAATGTACTTTGTTAGCTGTTTAACAAAGCTTAATCGACTGTTATGTTACTGCAAACAGAAAGGGTTAATGTTTGAACACTAATTTTTGAATAGTTATCTTTAAACATAACAGCTGCATACATGCACATGATAATAGCATCGGTTACTAAAAGTCTATACAGAAACAGCATGCATTACATCTTATCTACACATTTTCTTACTGGCTCTATTAGGCATCATAAGGTTTCTTTGGCCAAGCAGATGGTCAAGTTCCGTGCCCAATGCCTCTTACAAATACTGCTCGGGACGGCAACCACTCACTGGGAGACACAGCAAATACTTAGCTTTGCAGGTGCCCTGTTAATAGGCATTTACTATAAAGAACTTGATCTACAATTACATATACTATCATTTTTAAACATGAGATGAAATAAATGCCCTCAAAATGTTGTGTTACAGCAGATTGGCTAGAGAAGTCCAGTGAATTAGAGTACAAAACATTATAATAGTTGCTATTGACATGAGGTATAATTCTTCATTTGATCATTATTGATCAGTAACTTAGCTGACCAGAAAGCATATCTGGCAGATAATATTGTACAATGGCACTTGTACAATGCAGTGGAACGGGAAACATCAGGATGAAATATGAAGATGAACCTGCCTTGAATTCAATACTAGAAAGTGTAATATCCTGGTCAGGATTGACATACAGCTAAAAGTTTGAATACCATCAAACTCTCCATAATGTATTTTTTCTGTGCTCCCTCAATTATTCAGTGAGACTAACCCAACTAACCTCCTGTAACACAACTAACCAATGATTCAAAAATAACTGAATTCTTTCATTGTAAATGTTGGAGCGCTTCCTCATTGTCCCCCACTGCCCAAACAACACTTAAATTATAACGTGCTACTGTCAAGAATCTACAGCATTCTCACCTGGTGGCAAACATGGCACGTAAGGACGAGAAGGTCGCTGCATCCTCCTTCAGGGCCTTGAGTTCGTTTCGCAATTTCATCATTGTCTCGGTCACCATCGTTTTCTCATTTTCATACTTACTCTTCAGGTTTGCCAGGGCAATTTCTGCTGTCTGCAGGCATTAACAGTGAGAAAAAGTTAGAATAAAAGCCATCCACATACCAAACCCCTGTGGACAACACGGGAAATCCTATTTTTAATAAATGAGCAAACAAAGTAAATTTTAGCAAGTTCACGGCTAGGAACATTTCCCACGCTTATTTATTTCCTTTAAACTGTTTCTGGCCACGCACTGCCAGTTGGTCTCCTCCTACAAATGACATTGGTATACATCATTCCAGAGCTGTCAATAGTAAACAAATCTCGGGTGTGAGATATCGACTGCATGTCTGCTGCACACACAATCATTATCATGCATGATAGCTGCAACATGGCTAAAGTGACAAGCTGCATTTGTCACTTGGGCTCAGACAGTGACCTGCTATTTCTAAGGGTGCACTCATTGGACATTAATGAGGTTTAGAAGACCCATGCCTCTGCTAAACACAGGCATTAGTATTGAACTTGCAACACACATCTTATTAACAATGGCAAAGCCCTCAACCAATACCAATCATCTGTTTACAAAGTCAGGCTTAGTAAAGGTTGACATTTCCAGTGTGTTATCTTGATCTCTTCAGATTAAAGGATCCAATTTCATAAAAATTCTGTAGTCCAGCAGAACTTGAGGAATATTCCACGTGCTTACTGATTAGGATACTTTATTTTCCCAGCTCTTCTGAAGGCATCAACTAATATTAGATATAGTTAGACTTCATGTTATGTCTTATGGTCAGTATACCTTGAAGGGACATGTTCATAACATTATCAATGTATCATAATATATGATTGAGGGTATATTCCATGTTACCTTGGATCATTTGAAGCATGACATGCTATTGAAAACTCATTGCTCACTGTTGTAATCTAAGAGATTAATGTTAACTCAAATACTTGTGATTGTAATGTTTGTATATAATATTTGGCTGTAATAAATACCTGTTAGATTCTTCAATACCATAACATACCCATTTTCTTATGTCACCAGGGATAGCATGAGCATTACTGATACCTGCTACTGTAAGTCTACAGATCTTAAAACAGCAGTTTTAATGGAGCAAAGACCAGTGGAGCAGTCCTAAGTCAGGGTTACATGGCCTAAGATAGCACAGTGAAAGGTTTTATAGTATGGAATCATGGATAGCAAATACCCCATCATAGACTGAATAATTTACAAAATTACAACTATTCAGAAAACATTTGCAGATGTGGTGTACCTAGATTTCCAAAAGGCCTTCGACAAGGTGCCGCACAAGAGGCTACTGCATAAGATAAGAATGCATGGCATTAAGGGTAAAGTATTAGCATGGATAGAGGATTGGTTGACTAACAGGAAGCAAAGAGTGGGGATAAATGAGTGCTATTCTAGCTGGCAGTCAGTGACTAGTGGTGTGCCTCAGGGATCAGTGTTGGGACTGCAATTATTTACAATTTACATAGATGATTTGGAGTTGGGGACCACGTGTAGAGTGTCAAAGTTTGCAGATGACACTAAGACAAGTGGCAGAGCAAAGTGTGCAGAGGACTGTGAAACTTTGCAGAGGAACATAGATACATTGAGTGAGTGGGCAAAGGTCTGGCAGATGGAATACAATGTAAATAAATGTGAAGTCATACATTTTGGTAGGAGTAATAGTAAAAAGGATTATTACTTGAATGGTAAAAAGTTGCAGCATGCTGCTATGCAGAGGGACCTGGGTGTCCTTGTGCATGAATCACAGAAGGTAGGTCTGCAGGTACAACAAGTAATTAGGAAGGCAAATGGAATTTTGTCCTTCATTGCTAAAGGGATTGAAATTAAAAGCAGAGAGGTTATGTTGCAGCTGTACAAGGTGCTGGTGAGGCCACACCTGGACTACAGTGTGCAGTTTTGGTCTCCTTACTTGAGAAAGGATGTACTGGCACTGGAGGGGGTGCAAAGGAGGTTCACTAGGTTGATTCCGGAGTTGAGGGGGTTGGTTTATGAGGAGAGACTGAGTAGATTGGGATTATATTCATTGGAATTCAGAAGATTGAAGAAACATATAAAATTATGAAGGGAATAGATAAGATAGAAGTAGAGAGGATGTTTCCACTGGCAGGTGAAGCTAGGACAAGAGGGCATAGCCTCAAGATTAGAGGGAGCAGATTTAGGACTGAATTGAGAAGGAATTTCTTCACCCAGAGGGTTGTTAATCTATGGAAATCCTTGTCCAGTGAAGTAATTGACGCTACTTCAGTAAACGTTTTTAAAAACAAGGTAGATTTTTTTTTGAACAATAAAGGAATTAAGGGATATGGTGAGAACGCGGGTAAGTGGATCTGAGTCCACGAAAAGATCAGCCATGATCTTACTGAATGGCGGAGCAGGCTCGAAGGGCCAGACGGCCTAATCCTGCTCCTAGTTCTTATGTTCTTATGTTCTGTTTTACAAATCAAGCGGTAGATGATCCTGAGAAAAGAGCTTTAAAAATCTTGTTCACTACTGGCAAGGAGGAACATTGCAAAATGAACACATCTGGTCTATCCATGGACAATTGAAAAATCCAGCAAAAATTGGTAAATCCAGCTCAAGGTATGACTTAACCATAGGATTAATAGATTACAACTCGTCATACAAATTGAAAACCCAAGAGTCAATTGATCAGTTTGTCAGAAGATGCCACAGCAAAGGGCATGAGTTTGACTTTTGTGCAAAGATGAAGTGACAGAGAGACTCACTGATTTAGTCATCAGTTTTACACCAATTAAAGCTTTTAGGAAGGAACATTTGGGCAAGAAGAAAGGCCCATACCATGGACACATTACTTGAAGATCAACGCAGATATGAAGCCATAGTGGCAGGCTAACAAGCAATCATAAGCTTTAGGTACCTTCAACACTAATGCACAGTACATCAAACCAACAAAATCAGTGAGAGGTGTCATTTGTCCCACCTTTTCAGACACTACAAAACATGTGGCATCAAGGGAAATTGGGTGCATGTGTGCAGGAAATTAGGTTCCAAAGGCCAAGCTAGTCTCTAGAACAGAACACAGAGGAGCAAAAGAATGCTACAACACCACATTGGCAGCATGGGAAGTGTTAAGAAGATGCACAAGCATAAACACATCAATGAGGTTCAGGGTCACACAAGTGAAAGGCAGATTTCAGAAGATGACCAAGCTTCTTGCACTATTAACTTCAAACACTATGTTGACAATATAAGGCAGTCAGAAGCTTTTACAACCATTGAGATCATATGTCCTGAAAAGCAGGACAACACGCACAAAGCTAAAATCAACACAGGAGCTACTGCCAAAATATCACGACTACACATCCTGAAAGGTATGTAGCTCAGGCTATACCATGGAGCACCACTTGCTACAAGAGAGTGTTGTACAGGGTATAATAGATCACCAATTTTGTGCATTGGTAGAATCACACTGCAGTGCCAATACACAAGCTTGTCGTGGTTTCCTGAAATCTTCTACGTGGGAGATATCAACAGCCCACAGTGGTAGAACTACCAATGCGCACAGTCACACTTCACATTTCATACGTTCAAACCACATTCACTGTGGAAACACAGACCTACATGGTACAAATTGAAGCAGTCAACAATATTTAAGGCTTTGGCTGAAGTAAGATATACATCAGCTACTGGAATGATTACATCTGACATGATGAGTAGGTTACCCAACCCACACAAAGACCAAGATATTCCTCTTGATCTTAATGTTGATGCTGTAAATACTAAGTTGCCAAGGTTGATCTGTTTGGCCAGAGCCAAATGTTAACAATTACAATCGACAACCACCAATGTTGAGCAATTACAGAACTGCAAAAGATCGTTGTGTAGGGATGGCTTAACAATACTAAAGAGGTGCATGACAGCATTTGTTCATTTTGGCAGGACAGAGATGAACTTAGTATATCATGACAGTCATTTTCAAGGCAAACCCATCCTAATAGAAATGATAATCCCAATAGCATTAGGCCAAGATACCATGTCCATGTTACACCAGGGGAAAGTCATTATATAATGCATAAAATAGTGAGCAAATGAGTCTGTGTACTGACCAGGGATGAATCAGGATATTCAACAACTTGTGAATGCACGTGAGGCACGGCAAATATATCAACCTATATCCACGCAATGTTCCATCCATTCCTAGCAACAGACCTATTCACCACACAAGGGGGAAGAATACATCCTTATGATGAATTATTTCTTTAAGAGGGAAATTTCGTGAAGTAGGAAGAACACTGTGATAACGATTGTGTGATGATGTTAACTGACAGAAGCCAGCAGCAAGATAACTGAAAAAAGAAATAAAAAAATTGCAGATGCAGGAAATCTGAAACAAAAACAGAAATTACTGGAGAAACTCAGCAGGTCTGGCAGTATCTGTGGGCAGAAAGCAGAGTTAACATTTCGGGGCAAGTGACCCTTCTTCAGAATAGGATGAACAAGTTGTGAAACAAATGTAATAGACATAGCTCTCCAGATGGGTATACAACTGCCAGATCAGATAAGTCGTCAAACCTCCAAAGCATTACATTCAGCTTTGAAATATTAATCTTGTAAACTCCGAGTTACTTGTTTGTATAATTATCAAACTGATAATGCATGTCAATGTATAACTATGTACATCCATTTGGAATGTTTTTATATTGGTGATAAAGGGATATTGTGTAATGTCTTATGGTCAGTGTGTTAGTATATCTTTAAGAGTCACAATATGTCAATATACCTTTAAGAGACATCTTTATGACATCATCACTATACCATAGTATGCGACCTGAGGGTATAAAGATCACATATTCCATCTTACCTTGGATCATGAAGCATGAAAAACTATTGAAAGCATGCTGCTCTCTTTCAATCTATTAGCTTAAGGTTAGCTCAGACATTTAAGTACATGTGAATGTAATATGCTTGTATATAATACTTAGTTATAACAAATGTCTAATGGATTTCTCACAATATCCACTCCCCAGTTTCTTATGCTATCCGTTGTAACATAAGCATTGCTGCGAAAGGCAAAATAA